ACCCAAATCAGAATTAAGACCTTAATGACAAGTATCAGCGATCAAATAGAAGTGCGATCAAAAGAACACATCCTAGAATGCATCAGTATAAACAAGGACGGGGACTGCCTGTTTGGAACGATTGCGCACCAACGGAGGGGACTGCCAGGGACATCAGAGCCTCTCATGAAATTAAGCAAAGGATTAAAAAAGAAATCAACGCATACATCAGGGAAAACCTGGAAGATTTCTACCCACAATTTGTAGGAGACGTAGACGGATAGATGGAGAGAACCAGCAGAGTTACGGAAATCGTAACCAAGAAGCACCGAGGCATTGAGGTGGAGATATTTGAAGGAAAAGCAAGAGTATACCCATGGCCCAAATCAAGATGAAAATAGGAAGACTAACAATCACAGGATGCCACATCCCCTCGGGCAAAAGAGGACAGGCGGAACTCAGAAATCGAAGTGAAACAACAGAAAAAAGTGCGGAAAGAACCTAGGTATCATACTAGGCGGCTTCAGTACGCAACTAGGCAGACTGGACGAAAGTGAAGAGGAGGAAGGGAACACAGCAGACATATGGGCAAAAACAGTAGGATCGGACCACAAAACGGTAAAGGGGAAAGTCTGGGATGTGAAACTTCTGTCAGGGGAGAAGAAAAGAAAGGAGCACCGAAAGGAGCAGTAAGAGATTAGAAGCAAAAAGGGGGAAGGGATACCATATCGGAAAAGATCGGCGAAACGCTCAAAGAAACAACAAAGAATACACTAGGGAAACAGAAACGCCCATGTGACCGAACAGAAAGCGGGCCAAAACCCACACTAACCTGAAACAAAGAAGGAGCTAAGGGAAGCCAAGGAAGAAGAAAACGGAGCCTATGAGCAACACGAAATCAAGGAATCCGCCGTGTTCGCGGAGAACATCGCCAAACTCAGACCAATGAAGAGGAATATGCAAATGTAATGGTATAGGCACATCAAAAAATACAAAAGGAGGAAACAAGGGGGAAACAGAAAATAATATACCAATGACAGCGTGGGCGATGCTGGAACTACCCAAATTCCTAATCAACAGAACCATAAACGCGTGGCAAAGGGAGTATACTAGTATACAATGGTTTTGGAAGAAAACCGAACACCAAAGGAAAACCAGGGGGATCAAACAAGGATGTCCGTTTCCCCAAGGCTCTTCGCGATAGCACTTGACCATGCTATAGAACAAACAAGGATGGTGGTGACGAACCTTAGCACAGGCGGCCAATTACTACTACCGACATTACTGGCGTACGCGGACGATCTATTTGTAATCCCGGATAATTTATAAGACACTGAGGACTTCGTCCAGGCCAGCGTGGTACCAGGTACACCTGGAAATGGTGGACCTGCAAATACACAACGAAAAGAGCTACATGATGATAAGAGTGCCAAGAAACAACACCCCCAGTACAAAGAAGGAAAGAAGACCATAATAGCCGAGAAGGAGATAACCATGAAGCACAAGATCAAATATCTGGGAACGTACATAAACAGCACCCTCAGCAGGCACAACGCAGTGCAAGACAGAATAACCAACGCATTCAGAAGCACACACGGAATCTGGAACTTCTTACGAGAGAAGAAAATACCGGGCAGCTGGAAAATGATGATTTACAACACGAACATAGCACCGACAATGTTATACGGAATTAACACTTCAGCGCTAACAAGGAGCAACAGACGAACATTGAGGAGGGCGGAGTGGAAGGCAGTCAGGATACTGAAGAAAACAGCAACCTTACAAGAAAGCAGAGAAGAGAACTACTAGAAAGAAAGACGATTACCAGGAGACTGAAGATGATTCAGATGAGATACTGGACATACCAACAAGAGGAACAAAGACCATATCATACGGGCTGCCAAGATTCTGTGTGCCTCGGAATGGAAGGTACGCCGACCCTGCCACACATGGAGCACCACCATAAACCAAACGGTAGAGGTCTCGGGGATTACCATAGGAAGATGGGAAGAAAAGAGCAAAGACACACATCAAGGAAGAAAGAAAGCAGAAGAATACTGGAGGTGGAGGAAGAAGCCAAGGGGCCAATATATTGACAAATGGTCATTAAATGACTAAACCACCCCAAGCACATGTCCAACTAGCTCTACTAGATATCGGTACACTAACAAACGCTTTTAAAATGAATTATATTTTTTCTAGAGCACGTCCAACCTCCGCCACAACGACAATCTTGATATTCACGTAAACTATATCAATTTGCGAAATTTACCAGGCCTTGACGGCCTCCAAAGGTCCAAAAAATTAATTAACAAATTTTTAATTGACCCCTGATTTAATTATGGGTACGAAATAGAAAAATGTAGCATTAACACTTTTATCTAGGTCGTAATTTGGGCTCGATTAAACAAAAAATTAACAGATAAAACAAATTTCGCAACAAGAGATCGATAGGACAAATTAATTAAAGAAATCTTAAGGAGTTGCGGCGCGACACTCGTGTAGTAAACATCGTAAGATTGTTAAAGGTTACCTGTGCAATTAAAACTTTTGTGTTACTGATTATTTTCAACCGACTAACTCATATTTCAAATCAAATAAAGCACCTAAATTCATTGTGAAATTTGTAAAAAGCATACAACGTTTTTCGATATTAAAACGTGGAAATATTTATACTATAGTCCATAAATTACCTAAATATTGTTGCTAAACCAGAATCGTAGACACGTACACATACAAGGACACTCTTGAGATAATTCTGTTTACACTCGCCTAATATAATATTTTGCATTATCAATTATAAACAAACATGACAATCGATACCTCCGAACTTTGTAAAATATTTGATAATTTTAAACGGGAGCTAAAAGAAGAAATGGAACACATTATTAGGAAAGAAATACATACTCTCAATATACCGGCCTATATTGAAGGTTCTAATAATCGGTTTAAGCTTCTGAAAAGCGAAAATCGTGCATTGAAACAAACAGTTAACCAACAACAAAAATTAATAGAACAAATACGTAGGCAGAATAATGTCGTAATCTTCGGAATGAGAGAGAGCGATGAAAACTATGACACATTGGAAACTGGAGTTATAGATCTGTTCAATAATGTGTCACAAACAAAGATCACGCGAGATAATTTAAACTATATTAGACGAGTAGGGCAAAAAAGTACAAAAATACGACCAACCATTGTCTCCTTCACATCAAATATATGTAAAGCAATGGTGTTGCGCAATGCTTTTAAATTAAAGGGTTCGAAAGTGTATATCTCTGAAGATTATGACAAGGAAGCTCAAGAACAGAGAAAAGAACTCCTAGCGATGCAAGCGAAGCTGAAAAGAGCTGGACAGGAGTGTAAGATAAGAAGAAATGGACTTTTAATAAATGGAAAATTTTGGCACGTATCAGAAATAGTCGCAAGTGAAAAATATAGAGAGGGGGAAACTGCGGAAGATGCTGAAAATTTTGCAGGTGAATTAGAGAAGGTTAAAAAAAGAAAAAGAATAACGGGCGAGGAAGCGAAGAAATCTGGTTCATCTACGAGCAACATAACTGATTTTTTTCGCCCGCGTACCAATTCCGGATCCTCTACAAAATCAATTAAATTGTAACAGTGGCTATAAGCAATCATAAATTTAGAAGTATCTTACCATAATCCCTTTTTTGATGAACATTTTTTTTTTTTTAAATTTTGTGCCGACAGTTAAATTGGTGAAATATGGGAGGCCAAGTGACGGTACTGTGGTGAGAGTTAGAACCTCGGTTAGAAATCGTTACTTCAGAACAATCGTGAACTACTATGTCATGGTAATATCAATCCAGTCCAAACATTTTTTTTATGTAATGCCAATTTGCCTAAAATGTAATTTTAAACAAATATTGTTACAATAAGCAAACTATAATATAATTTAGGTCACAGAAAGGAAAATGTAAATGTTTTTATTGCAGTTTGCCCAATTTTATAAGAATTTAGATAAGTATGCATTTTTCCAATAATAATTTGTTAAGTAATTATGAATTGAAAGATTATGTCAATAGCGAAAATTCAGTTAATTTTATGTTGTATTACAGAGAAGCATAAGTATGTTGCATTTTTGGCAATGTTTAAAAGTTAAAAACTTTGCTTAAGTTTGAATTTTTATTCCTGCTAAATATGGCAAAAACAGTGATGTAGTAGTTTCCATTTTTTTGTTATTTATTTGGATACCTATGTTTATTTAAGAACCAACTCCTCAGACGGTCTATGAACCATGAGAATGGGTCTGTTGCCAAACAATGTTTTGTTTTTAGTTTTTTTTTTTTTTTTTTTTTTTCTTCAGGAGGGGAAATGCATTACGCACAAAGTGTGGGGCTCCCTGATACCAGGTATACCCACTAAAACCCCTCCTGAGGCGTCGACTGCTATGGTCATTTGCCATTTTATTGGTAAGAATATTGTAGTTTAGATTTTAGTTAATAGATTAGTACTTTTCAAATAGTTTATAGTATTTTTACATTGACATTCACTTGTCAGGTTTTCTACAATATCTTCTCTCACATTATACCGCTGTCTCTCTGCGTTATATTTTGGACACTCGCACAGTAAATGGACTACAGTTAGGTTTACTAAACACCGCTCGCATTGAGGGGGATTCTCATTAACCAAAAGAAATGAGTGAGTGATGGAGGTATGTCCTAACCTGAGCCGATATATTTTTCCTAGTATATACCTTTCCCTATTTGGTAGAAACATCGGACCCACATCCCCCTTGAACTTCTTTAAGAGCGCTTCCGATTCTCTCCATTGCTCATTCCAGTTACTCCATGTTCTAGACTTGATTATGGATCGACGCGCGTTTTTTGATAAATCAGACATGTTTTCGTCTGTCAGGTTCAATTCACCCATAATTTCTTTAGCTCTCACCCCCAACGATCGACATCGAGGTAAGCGTGCACCTTCCATTATTTCGACCATTCCATGATAGTTCGGATGATTGCTATCAACCGCAACTTTCGCGTAATAATTGGCCACTATTTGCTTTCTCCTAATGGAAAGAGGTGGAATATTCGATTCAACGTGGAGCGACACAGTTGGGCTTGTTGGGAAGGCACCAAGTGAATACCTTATTGCTAAATTTTGGATTTTATCGATCTGTCCCAACAATGTAGCACTACAAGTGGAATAGACATGTGACCCGTAGTCTATACGTGATCGTATCAGGGCTTTGTATATGTCGAGCATTGTTTTAGGGTGGGCTCCCCATTTATGATGAGCGAGCACCCTTAAGATGTTTAAAGATTTTCGGCAGGATGTTACTAGGTTCTCTATATGTTTCGTCCATCTTAGCTCGCTATCATACGTTAAACCTAAAAATTTTATATTTCGTACAACATTAATGCTTTGATCGTTCATAAACAAAACTGGATCGTAATGTGGTCTTCGGAGTCGACAGAAATGGACACATTTTGTCTTCTCTTCGGACAGCACATATCCTACAGCATTAGCATTCTCTAGGATTTTGTTTATTGCCACTTGCAGTTTACGAGTTATTTCACCAACCGTTTTACCTGTACAACAAATCATCAAATCATCGACATAGAGACATTTCTCCACTTCCTCAGCGACACCCATGGCTATTTCATTAATGGCAATACCAAACAGGGAGCAGCTGAGTGTTGACCCCTGCGGTACCCCATTCTCCAAAACATGCTCGTCTGAGTAGGTGTCACCCACTCTGACCACAAATTTTCTGTCTGACATGAATGATTGTATGAATTTTGGCAGATTCCCACGTAAATTATATTTAAGCATGTTTTTTAATATTCCGTGTCTCCATGTCATGTCATACGCACCCTTTATGTCAAAAAAGACACTGACCAGATGCTCGCCATTATCGAACGCCCCCAGGATTTGGTTGCTCAACTTGACCAGGTGGTCAATCGTTGATCTCCCCTTCCGAAAGCCGGTCTGATATGGTACGTATATGTTGTTTCTTTCTAAATACGTTTGTAACCTTGTATTAACCATTTTTTCCAGCAGTTTGCCTAGACAAGAGGTTAAACTTATTGGGCGATAATGCTGTGCTAGCAAAGGATCTTTTCCCGGCTTCGGTATAGGTACGACGATGGCCTGCTTCCATTCTGAGGGGTAAGTAGAATAATTCCAACAGTTGTTGAAAAATGTTAAGATGGTTTCCTTCATTTCAGGACTACAATGGCGAAGCATCTGGTTATGTATGCCATCCTGGCTCGGTGCGCATGATTTGATGGTGCGAATCGCAGTGTCAAATTCTTCAATGGTGAATGGTAAGTTATAGTCAAAAATATCGTTGGTATTAAAATTTAATAATCTGGATTCTTTTTCAGGTTTGGTCCTTAGAAAGGTAGGAGGATAATTTAGGGAGCTACTAACTTTGTAGAATTGATCTGCAATAATATTTGTTATATCCTGTAGATTGTTTATAATTATCCCGTTAATGTTTCTTAAAAATGCCGGGTAATTGTAACCGGTTTTTCCGGTTATTGCTCCCACCTTTTTCCAGACTTCCTTATTGGTTGTCTCTGGTGTCATAGTGGATACATATTTTTGCCACGAATTTCTTTGTGCCTCGAGTATTCCTCGTCGGCACTCAGATCTTCGTTTTTTAAAATCTATTAGATTATCCAATGTTGGAGACCTGCGGAACCTATTTAACGCTTTTTTCTTTAATGATACTTTGTTTTTTATTTCAGGTGACCACCATGGGACCATTTTTCTGATGTGACCGGGTTTTGATTTAGGGATGCTTGCTTCTGCAGCCTCTAATATAGCACTCATTATAGATTGAAGATTTGATTCCATCTGGTTTGGAGGGACGAGCTGCTGCGTAAAATGTTCCCAATTAGCTTGTTCAATTTTAAACTTAGCTATCGTTCTTATCGGGGGGTTTTCACCTAGGACTGTGATGATTATGGGAAAGTGATCGCTGTGATACAGGTCACTCTCCACCTCCCATTTAAGCTTAGTATGTAAGGCCGGTGAGCATACCGACACATCTATGGAGTCAAATTTCCCGGATCTGACATTAAAAAACGTTTCAGAGCCGTCATTTAACAAACTTAAATTTTTATTTTCTATTAAGTTTAACAGGTCGTTACCTCGAGCATCGTTTGAGCCAGAACCCCAAACGGTGTTATGGGAGTTGAAATCTCCGACCAGGATAAAAGGGATTGGAAGCTGATTTATAATTTTTTCGATTTCTTCGACCTCGTAATTTGTATTTGGAGTGTATATATTGCAAATCGTAAAGGATCTGCTTATTTCCAGCTGTATTGCTGCAGCTTGATATGTTGTATCTAGATCGACCCGTTTATAGGGAGTACCTTTTCGTACAAGGAGAGCCACTCCCCCACAGGCTCTTGCTGGTGAGTAGAAATCCTTTCTTATGATATTGAAATTCTTAATGTTATATTTTGATCTAGGTCTTAGATGTGTTTCTTGCAGAGCAACACACAAGGGTGTATGCTTTTGAATCAGTAGTTTCAACTCATTTAAGTTATTGGATAGTCCTCGACAATTCCATTGGATAATTTTTGTATCCATTTCGAAGATTTTTTTTTAAGAGACAGACAATCACAGTGGAATAAATAACATAAATAAATAACAAATAAGTGTATATGGGACTATTACAAATAAGAATTAACAGATAACAAACGGACTACTATAATTAGATAATTAATAATTATCACAGATTTTATCACATTATTATCAATTTTTCGGATCAGTGTCTCGCTGGCTGCTCGACTCCCTTGACTTTTTGCTTGCTTCATCACCGTCTTTCGGTTTTCTTGGCTTTCCAAGCGGCCAACCTTTTTTTTTCTTGGATTTTTTGCTTCTGCTACCGCATTCTCGTCAACAGACAAAACACTCGAGTCCGTCGATTGTGTTCGTTGTAGCGAAGTTTTTCTTTTTGCACCTCTAGATTCTTCATCCATCAGCAGCAGGGCTACATCTGAATGAGTCTCACTATCTGCAACCATTGTTTGTGATGGTTGGTCTCTACTTGGTGGAGTTAGGAATTGTACAGTGTTTGTCGCAGGGACCAGCATTGCCTTCTGAATGTAACTTATCATAGAAGCTGTAAGTTGTTTCATTTCCTCGTTATGAGGTATAGCAAAATAAAGATGATTATTATTATTATTATTATTATATTATTAAAGAAATCTTAATTACCTTAAATTGTTAATAAACAAAATCTCCAATCGTAACTGCGATTTACAATAAATCACGTACGAATAAACAAACTAAGATACTTTAGAACTTCACTTCGTTGATTGCACTTAAATTTCGAGTAAGACGACCCTGCTTTCGTTGTAATTACAGATGTAAAACTGGCTTTTTGATGGCGGAAAAACTCCCTTTAACTGGTACTCTGACAGGTTTTAACTAAACGATAAACGCACTATAGACACAACAGTCCGACAAAACTTCTTCGTAAACATAAAACACGCTTCCGCTTAACTCGAATTAAACATCTCTTAGAGCACTCAATTGACTTTCTTCTACAAACACTTTCCAACTGTCAAGATGAACTGTCTTGGAAAAATACACTGAAATCTGGCAAAACGATTAACGTCCGTTTGTTCCATTTAAAACAATTTCACTTTCTCGTCAACGTTGAACGATAAACTCCATCTATTTTCTTGTCTTGAAACTCTTTAGCTTACGCCGCAAAAACAAAACTTCTTATCTACGGCATCGATTTCCGGTTAAACCGAAAGTTTGAATATGCGTCAGATAGATCGTAATGTCACATATAAAATTAAACAAATTTTTCAAACCTCGCCAAATAAAAGAGATATTGAGGTGACCCTCTTATCTCAAACACACTGTAAATATGTGGAAAAGAATTAAACAAATACAAATCAATTTTGGAATTTTTTGCGATAGAATCTCTACAGAACTTTTGGAAAGTTTACAATCTTTAGAACCATCAGAATATTGAGAAATATATATGTATATTATGACCCTTAAATTTTTTTTACAATTTTCCTAGTGTTCTGAAGAGCAAAAATTGCAATAGTTGTAGGTATGGACGTATTGTAATAATTCTGTATATTTCTTATATTAAGAAATGTCATTATCATATTGGTGTGTATATGAGATTGGTCCCCAAAACCATTTGGTTCCGTATAGAAAACTCTTTTGTACCACTTTCCTTTCAGTCCAATGTAACAAGTTGGACATCGCTTAGAAATCACAGGTTGAGGTGAAATTTTCGATTTGGCTAACAGCATCCTCCATTACAATTTTTCCTTGCGTTTTTTATTCGGATTGTAGTCATTGTTTGGCAAAGAGCACCCCCGATATCATCTACTTGAAATTGGTGTCATGTATCAAAGAATATTATATTATTTCATTGAACGTTCGTATGAAACGTTTTAGGGCGTTTTGAACGTTTTTAACGGATATGATGTCATTTTTGGGTTTATCGAAAATTCAGTCTTATATATTAAGGTACACCGTCGTGACCATACTTTTTGATACAATCTATTTTTCTTTCTTCTTTGGCATAAGCAAACAATTTTGTGATATCTGTATATTAAGCACAATTATTTCATTATGTCAAGGATTGCAATAGGTTATGTTGGGAGTAAATGTTTACTTACAGAGAAGGTAAGACAACTATTTTACTGACGCAGTAGTGTACCTACTTGTATTAAACTTCTGTTGTTGCAAGTTTGGTAAACTAAATTTTGTGTAATATTCAATTGGCCATCTATTCATTTAAACTTAGTTTACTTAACATTATAGTTTCGGTTAGTTTCAGCAAGTCCTGTACACCGTTTCGCATCGGCCACAGCGTAGAGGACCTTACTCTGTGTTTGCTCTGTGACCAAGTGGGTATACAATTTGGTTAACCGTATTATTGATCCTTTAACTTTATAGTAATTCGCTGGCGAGAGTAAACACAAAACCTATCGAATGTTAGGTACATTAACTCTGAAACTCATAAAATTACTAAGTCAAAGGAAAGACGAATATATCTCCGAAAATTTCTAATATTACAAAAAGGTATTTAATAACTGGCAATAAGGTAAGATTATTAAATATATTAAATATTATTAAATATGTCGGTGTAAAAATAACTTAAGGGATCGAAGTTGTAGGCCTACCTTCTTTCAGAAATATTCCTTTGATGTGCATTCTTTCTGACACAATGCAGATATGCTTGCTCGAAGTAATTACATCTATATACTACGACAAATAATTAACGCCGAATGATGGAGAATATAACTCCTGAGGTCTTGAGCAATGTATGAGCTGGGATGGAATCGAGAATTTTCTTAGTTGTTTAGTAGTAGAGTTCCCGCGCGCTCAAAAGTGATTAAGAAATCAACCCCGTCAAGCTTTTAAAGGTAAAAAGCATCTAATGATGTTTTTCTGTAGTGTTTGGCCTACTAATTAACCTTCTAAATTTTTCTGCTGATACCGATGTCCAAAAGTTCCTATTTTTAATTATCTTTACAAAGGTGCGTTTTCTTTGTCGTTAGCTCTAATGGTAATGAAAATATAAGGGTTTTTCTCCGCGCATGTGTTTTGCAAAATGTAACTTTTTAAAATATCGTTTATAAGGCCATTGCTCTTAGACGAATCAGAACTTTAAAAAAAAAGTTTAAATAAAAATTATAGCTGGTAACTTAACGAATCGAACGAGGGGTGTAGTTTGAAAATATCTTTATAATTAAAGGCACAAGGAAAAAAAATGTATGACGTTGCACAGAGTAGCGGTGGTCGCTTTTCAACCGATTCGACGATTCCCCTCCTTCAAGCAATGTTTTTATTCACTTCAACTCGCGTAAGTAGACATCTTCTTGTTCATGCTCGAACTGAATCTTCTAAAAATGATTTATTTTAATTTTTGTCAATAAGTAATAAATTTAATAACTTATAACTTACCTTTGTGAACTTTACTAACTGGGAACTTATTGACTTTATACAACACAACTGTAATGAATTTAACAAAACACGTCCAACACTTCTCGTATATCCAAAGGAACTGAAATATGCCGCGAAAACGGCTCTAACAAATGGGCCCGACCTCACGAAAAACGGTCAAAGACCACAGGCGAACAACCAAAAGGTAACTGAGCACATTAATACACTAACTCTTCTCTTTAATACCTTTCCTTCTCTTATCCCATCTTCGATTTCACTTCCTTCTTTTTTTGTAAAACCACAACAACCTTATCTAAAGTGCACCCGCGTTAAACATCCGTTTACAATGTATTTACCTTTTAGTGATAATCCATCCGAGAAAAAACAAGAGATAAACTTTTACAAATATGATACAAATAATTTTCCTTATCCTACAACACGTAAATTCTTAACAATTAAATAAACAAAGTATACAAATTACAATGCAGCTATAAACAAAAAACTACATAAACTTTACACAAGATTGTTTATTAGATTACGCGGTTTGTTGTGAGTGAACCGTTAAACAGAATTCGCTCTGAAAAAAGGCAGAAAGTTTCTATACCAAGATAACACACATTGTTACACATTGCCCTGTTGTGGTTTGGCCCCGATGTATATTTCTAATTCCCCAAAAAGAAAATCCGCTGTGAAGGGATCACGATTTAAAACACTGGAGGTCATAAAAAAATCGGCGTAGTTCGTGTATGTATGTACAGCTAGATAGAGAAGGACCAGCAGACTTAATTTGAAAATGGACAATTCAGTGTGGAGACCTCGTATATGTTAATGCAGGTCTATAATTTATGAATAATGGGAGAAGTTCCGTATACTTTCTACTAACATTTGAGTAATCCTCAGTAATCCGATGGGTCGTACGGGTATTCTAGTCAAAATTCGAATAAGTGAACGTTTTGTTGGTCCGGATTTTGGAAGAAATACAAGGTCTGAGTATCGAGTCGTATTCATTCGTAAGCTACACTATTAGAAGATTACTCTGATGTATGTTCAAAAAGATTAAACTGAAACTGTAAAAACAATTTAAATGAAATGACATTGTTGTGAGAAATTTTCCCTAAATTCCCGTACAAATGCTGTTTATTAAAACGATTTAATGTGAACTTTTAACGGAGTAACTCTGAAAAGGGATTTTCCGTAAATCCAGAATTACTCTAAATGGGGGCGTAACTAATGGGATAACACGATGCTATCTGCTGGTTTTATAAATTATAAATACTTGCGGCATAAAAATACTTTTTCGTAACCTTTCGAGGGGAAATAGTGGAAATATATCGCACGTTTGTAAAGTTCGCGTGGTAATATTAAAAATATCATTTTTAACACCGACCGGCTATGAAAGGACCGCTGGCTATCCGTGCCAAATTGGTACTTAAACGTGAAAATAGTACTACGTACGTAAAAAATCAAAATGGGCAATAACATGATTTTTTATTATACCTGAATCACATGCGTGCGAAAAGGGGCCTTTAAAACACACGTGCTTTAAAGTTGCTAAGTAACGATACTTCAAGTATGACTTTTGAAACTGTCCTCTGGATGAAATAAAAAATCCTCTTAGGTCGCTTTCTGTAAATGCAGAACATTTCTTTGGCTTTTGTACCTATCCTTTGGTTGAAGCTTTCACAAACGCGCGTAATTTAGGGTATGCTTCCAAATCTGCTCCACTTTTTAATCGCAGCATTGCTTTAAAGTTTGAATGAATGCACCAA